TATAAACCAAAGGGCTAACTGCCTATTGGTATTATAGGAACTGTTATTCAGGAATACGGTTTACAATATCCCAGTGGTTTAATGGTTTTGCAGAAAGGCGTTCAAGTGACACGATCTTTTGCATTATCATTATCATTGGAAAAGGACTTAATAATATTTTCAAAATTTATTTATTTACTTCTTCTGCTACTCTCTTAAAATGAATTAGTCAAAAATAACTAATTATAAGTCATATTTGACTAATTGTCATAGCGAAAAAGCAGTCACTAATAATTGGTCAAATTCCACTGAATGAAATAGTTAAATTAGTAAATTTAAATTTAAAAAAAGTTTTGACCCAGCCTGAGATTGAACTCGTCTGTCACTTGAGAAGCTTGTCAACCTAACCTCATAACCAGTCGGCTGTCAGCCGCTCTTATAAAAATAAATTTTATTTGTCAATAAATATTGTTCATAATATTTTAAAGTTTAATATATTATTTGTGTTACTGTTTTGAGCTAAACTTTTTGCATCTTTATTTGTTTTATGGGTTATTTAACAATGGAGAGGTAAATGCATTTAATTCAAATAATACTTTGTTGTTGGCCGTAAACGATTAAAGAAATTAGTTACTATTAACTGTCAGAAATAGTCAAATATGGTGACTAATCTTAAATTAGTTAAACTTTAACTATTTACGTAGTAAAAAATAACTATTTAAAAGTGAAAACGACTATTTTATTAGTAAAAAATGCTGGTAGTAATTCAAATAGTAGAATTTTGACTATTTCATTTTTAGAGAGTAAAAAAAGGTATTACACGTTTGATAATTATTATTAATTTTAATATTCAACCTACTTTAAAAAAATTGAGCCTTCTGCCTGGGCGCCTATTGGCTTCGCGGCGCCCTAGGCCATGGCCTACACTCTTAGAAAAGACCTGGTATTTGTAACTAACTTAATATCGTTGGGGTAAAACTGTTGCAGAAAATAAAAATTTTTGTTTTTTGTAATCAGTACCTTTATATGTGTAACTGCTTGCATCATTACCTGAAAAGATTTAGTTTTGTTGTTGAGTATTATTTACTGCAAAAAGGCGATTAAGTTATTTTAACTGAAACTTTGTGTTGGCTAGAAGTATTGACAACATTATCTAAAAAAAATCATTTCGGCAGTAAAATGTTTTTGTTGGACCAAATATTTAAGTAACATTCTCAACTGACTGAAATTAGTCCGTGGAACTAACGGTTCGGTTGTATAAACTATGCGTCACTTTTCACTCAGCTAAGACACCAGCGGTGTGAAACAAAGTGTCAGTTGGGGATGTTGTCTCTGTAGGTTAATGCAACTGCAAACTTTGTGCATTTCGCGCGCGATTTGTCCAGCCCGGCGCGTGCTTTACTTTTAACCTGTAAACAAACGGTATTGCACGGCGTCCAGACTTCGGTGGTGTTTGTTCTTTTGTATTTGTGTATCAGCTCGTGTGTAGTGTATATTTTAGGTAAGAAACTAGTTTATTACAATTAGTCATTTGCCCCTGTAAATTCAGTGGCGACATACTTTTTAACTATTCATGTATATAAGAATATATTCTTATGTGTTGGTTACTTATAGATATCTAGAACAAATAATATGGATGAGCGGACTGAAGTAGCAGATTTATTAGAAACATGGGGTTTACCTGAATTGGTTTCAGTTTTTAAAGGTTACCTAGGTATTATTATTGCACTCCTTTAATTACACTATTGTAGTTTTGGGGTCCGAAAAAAAATCCAAAAATGTGAAAATGCCATTCCGACTGAAAATGGCCTCCTGAATCCAATGGTGTCCACCAAAAGTCTCCATCACGTCGGAATTTCGAGAATTTTTTTGTTTTGTTACAGCTCAAGTCGCATTTTTGGTATAGGGCCTATACTATAGTATATATAGGCACTCACACTCAAAATTTATCGAATTCTTACCCCTGTTATGTTGCAAGTATGTTACGTTGTACCTAAGAATCATTGTTAAGTTGTTAAACAAAGGCTTGCACTTCACGTAAACATCACGGTTTACTGAAGAAGTATAGTCAAATTTCATCTTAATGTACCTATCTGTGTATATTTACCAAAGAATCGTTTTTATTTTATTGTTAAAATATTTATAAATGTTTTCTTAGAGTAATTATTAATTTTTGTTATAATGTTTAAACCAAAATTTGGTGTTTTCAGTTATATTGTTATTTTTTAATTTATAATAAATATTTATAAAACGAACGGGCATGAATTTCCTTTCTCTATTTTTTATAATATTTACACAAAAAGTGTTATATTTACTAAGCAGGTATGTACAATTTGTTATTGCTACTAATGCAAGCATTTAATATTAAATATAACTTAGTTACAGTACAAAACAAATTTATATTATATCAACTATTAAATTCTTTAAATGTACCTTTTTTCATGTAATTTCAATTAAAAAATAAATTCCTGCATGATACAATGTTTGTTGCGATAAATAGCAAGTGCAGTTGTTACAACTTAGACGCTGCTAAAATGACAGACTAATGTGATTGCATTAAATATCAATTATTTGTATGAAAAAAAAAACTAATTTCGATGCACTTAAACTTGTTGGTTGGAGCTACCAATATTGGCTGTTCCGACAACAAACTGTAAAAACAAATTTGTATTAGTTCCCACAACATATTTTTTTGTTGTGCCTATTTTCACTAATAAAATTGGTTCTGGGAACTAAATTTTCATTGCAAATACCAGGTCTTTTCTAAGAGTGTAGGTTGGCCTATCGGTTAATTCAGCACTAACTTAGTAAGCTTTATTTATAATATAAATTAAAAAAAATTAATGTAATATTTTAAAATTCTGAATACCTTTTGACATAAGGTGTATTTAAAAAAATATTTTCCCAAAGAAAAAAATATGCATTAGAAGTTTTTTATATTTTTTGTGATACGCACTTGTGTTCTGTGAGTACATAATATGTACTATATATATGTATATATATTATATACCAACCAACAAAGTAGCTGCGCGTTGCCAGTTGTAAAAAATTTTAACTAAAAATTTTTTCTGCAAAAGAAAAATAAAAACTCAATAAATACAAAAGGTTTATGCCCTTAAAGCTTTAATCCCCTTCTGTATATATTTACTCATCCAGCTATCGGCTAAAGCAATGATTAGAAAATTTTGTACCTATTTTAAAAACTCCATAACCACAAAATTGATTTTTTCATCGTTTTTTTTTCTGTCTGCTTACTCAGATGAAATTAGGACAAGTTCACAGGTTAAACTTTAAACATTCAATTAGTGTAAATAAATACAAAAGCCCTTCCCTTAGTTAAGATATTTACAATTTGAGCACATAACCCAAAATTTGAAAGAAATGCACTAATTAATGGTAACTTACAAGATTCTGTCATAAAAGTTGCCAGATTTTGTTTGAATTTACCTTCATTACAAAAATGACATAATCAACTCTAGTAACCCTAAGCCCGAATTTATACAAGTACGAAATCTTAGATACATTGACATGGAGTTATTAGATAATTTTTTATCATTAACACCATTTCATTTAATTTTTACCATAGAAAGTATAGACGAAAAGCTTCTACTATTCAATAATCTAATTTTAGAACTATTTAATACACTTGCACCACTAAAAACTAAAAAAATTAGTAAATTAAACCCACCATGGCTAACACAAAATATTAAACTACTCATTAGGTTAAGAAATAAAGCATTTTCTAGATACAAGCGAACAAACAATATTAATCATTGGGTATACTACAAGGAGCTCCGTAATCAAACTAATATTTCAATAAAAAATGAAAAAAAGCAATACCTAAACCAGTGCACAAATAATAACAATAAACGCGATTTTTGGAGTGGCCTAAACAAATTAAATATTCATAGTAAAAATAAACAATCTGTAATACCACTTTTTTTTAACAAACCTTCTGATATTAACAATTATTTTTTACAATTTGTTAATAATAACAACTCCATCAGTGAAAACTTACATGATTTTTACTCTAATAATCTAAAATGCACCTTTTACGAAACCTTTACTTAGTATAAAATCGAAATCCGCAGGTTTTGACGAAATAAACACCTATATGTTATTACTTTGTTGTCCCTTCATATTAAAATATATTACTCATATAATAAATACTTGCATATGTAAATGCTATTTTCCAACTTTATGGAAAATTGCTCGTGTTATTCCGCTTCCTAAAAAGAAAGAACCTCAAAATTTTAGTGACCTACGCCCGATAAGTATATTACCTATACTCTCCAAAGTTTTTTAAAAAAATTTATATATTCAAATGCTGTCTCATATTAATCCTTACAGTATTTTGCCTGTCTTTCAGTCGGGATTTCGTAGTAAGCACGGTTGCAACACTGCCTTGCTCAAAATTGTGGATGACATAATTACAGCTACAGATCAGGGTAAGGCAACAATACTTATTTTATTGGACTACACAAAAGCGTTCGATACCTTAAGGCATCAATTATTGTTACCAATCTTACATTATTGTGGTTTTTTTTTTTCTATGAAAGATGGCGTCAAGTCAAGTAACGTGTCTTAAATGTGCTAAATCTGTAAAGGCTAATACTTACGGTATTAAGTGTTATAACTGTGAAAATTGGTTTCATAAGGATTGTGCAAACCTCTCTAGTGATGAAATAAAGTATTTTTTTAAAGAAGAAAAAAAGGAGAACGGTAATAAATGGTATTGTCCAGATTGTGTGAATTTTGAAGAAGTTGTAAATAAAAAACCTGATATAAACCCTTCAGAAAACAATAAGGAATCGGTCTTACTGGAAAATAGATATTTAAAACTATTAGTAAGTGAATTGCAAGATAAAAATAAATTATTATATGAAAATAAATTTCTTTTGGAACAAAAAATAATAAAACTTGAATCGGAATTTACGAGCATGAAAAAAAACGTACAAAAAACAACTACAATAACAAGTAAACCAGAGATCCAAGAAACAACTGAAAAAACAAAAACAAATATGCAAAATAAAAATGGAAGCATAAATTATAAAGATAAATTAGTTTCTGATAAAACAGGACCTAATAAAATAACAGCTACTCAATTAAAAAATGAAATTGAAAAAGTCATATCTAACATTAATAAGGAAAGTGCTGAAAATATTGAAAATGATGGTTTTAAAAAGGTTACCTATAAGAAAAAAACTAAACCAAATACAACTAAAGGAACTGCAGAACAAGAAGAAACTGAAAATTTTAAAGCCTGTCCATCAAAAATGTGGCTCTACATAGGACGGGTATCTGAAGGTGTGGAAGAAGTTGATGTTATAAACTATATTAAAAAAAAGTGCAATACAGCTGTAGAAACTGACATTGTAGTCAGTCAATTATCAACGATAGGAAAAGCAAAATCATTCAAGGTAGGAATAAGCAACAAATATCATGAAAATTTAAATCAAGCTAGTTTCTGGCCTGCAAACATCATCATTAGAAGATTTAATTTCTGGGCTCACAAGAAGAATTCTGAAGAAGAGACAGCAAATTTTTCAAAACCCACAGAAGAAAAAATGAATTAAATATTTTTTATAAGGAAACTACATCTATCAAAACCAAAGTTTTTCCAGAGCAATTCTCAACCCAACAAAAAAGCTTTCTAAAAATTATGCATCAAAATGTGAGATCCATACGCAAAAAAACAAATCATTTAGAAGCCTTTATTATGGACAAAGGTATAAATGTTCTTTGTCTAACAGAACATTGGCTACAGAATGAAGAGATAGAGACTTTTAAACTGGAAGGTTTTGATTTAAGAAGCTACTACTGCCGATCAAATAGTTTGGGAGGTGGCAGTGCTATTTTGTGTAATACAAACTTTGCAGCATGTAATATAAACAAACTTAATAATCTTAGCATAGAAAAATGCATAGAGATTAGTTCAGTGCATTTACACGATCATAACATCTATGTTCTCTCCATATACAGGTCTCCATCGGGAGATTTTCATATTTTCTTGAAGGTTGTTGATGAACTTATTTCCAAAACAGGTTTTAACAAAAACATTATTTTATTAGGTGATTTTAACGTCCACTTCGGAACAAAAGAAAAAAACAGCATAGCTCTTTGTGACTTGTTGGATGGCTATGGTTTTAAACAATTAATAACTCAAAATACTAGAAATCAATCTTGTCTTGATAATGCTTTTTTAAATTTTGATATTAGCTCTGTGTCTGTATCAGTTTTGGAATCCAGTATCTCTGATCATTGTTGCCAAATAATAAATCTAAAAATTAATAAAATAAATAAAATAAAAAAAGAAGTAAAATTATTTAGGCCAATAACACAAAGTGGTTTATTTAAATTTTACAACCTAATTGAGCAAAAATCATGGCAGTTCATAAATGATAGTTGTGAAACCGCTGAGTCTAAATTTGACACCTTCCTTAATATTTTAATAAATGGATATTTAGAAGCATTTCCAGAAAAGAGGCTTGTTTTCGATCCTAAAGGTAATACAACTGCAGGATGGTATAACGAGTCTCTTAAACAAATGAGAGAAACTCTTTGGCTACTGCACGATAACCATAAGAAGCTAAATACCACAAATAGTAAAAAAATATTACATCAATTTAAAGCCAAATACCAAAAGGCAATAAGACAGGCAAAAATAAATTATAATGACTTCAAAATTAAAACCTCTGAAAACTCAATCAAATCAATGTGGCAGGTAATTAACCAAAAAAGAAAAATAACAAAAAAGGAAAACAAATGCAATATTCAGCCTGATACTTTTAATAAGTATTTTTCAGAAATTGCCCTTAACATTACGCAACAAATTGATGCTGACATAGAAGCTGATGATTTTGGTTTCCGTGCAGTAACTGAGTTTTCATTCTGTGAAGTAACATTTAATGAAGTAAGTAAACTTAAAAATAAAAATGCATTTGACGTTTTTGGCCTAAATGTAAAGATTATAAAAACCATTGCAAATCTAATATATATACCACTTACAAAATTGATTAACTTATGTTTTAGAGAGTCAATATTTCCTTTGAACTTAAAAAAAAGTATAGTGGTTCCAATTTTTAAATCTGGGGATCAAAACGAACCGTCCAATTACAGACCAATATCCTTGCTGCCTATCATCTCTAAAATATTTGAGAAATGCATGGCTATCAGAATAAGATCTTTTTTTGAAAATAATGGACTTTTTACTGACTGCCAATATGGCTTTAGACAGGGTAGGGATACTTCTCTTGGTATACTATCATTAATTTCCAAAATTCTAAGCGCGTTTGAAAATTTTGAATTTAATAGCACAGTGTTTTGTGACCTCAGTAAAGCTTTTGACTGTGTCACGCATGACGTTCTTTTAAATAAACTTAAAAATTATAAATTTTCTATTAACGGTTTAAACTTAATCAAATCTTATTTGGAACATAGAATTCAGGCTGTGAAAATAGGGGACGTGATGTCTGCCGAAAGAGTAATAGAAATAGGGGTTCCCCAGGGATCTATTCTAGGCCCTTTACTTTTTTTAATATATATTAATGATTTACCTTTGGTTGATCCATTGGCATCATTTACTCTTTTTGCAGACGACACGTCCTTTTCTAGATCGGATAGGGACTTAGACGCTGTAAGGGGTAAGTCACGTGAGACACAGTCAAGAGTGGAGCAATGGTTTAAAGCAAACAAACTTTCACTGAACATAAACAAAACGCAAAATATAATATTTACATTAAAAAACATATCTCATGTCACAACAAATGCTGAGGTAGTAAAATTCCTAGGAATTCAGTTAGATAGCGCGCTAAAATTTGATTACCATGCTAACTACATCTGTAATAAGATCAAGAGAAGTATTTTTGTCTTGCGGGGACTTTATGAATCAGTGTCCATTGAAGTGTTGAGAAATGCATACTTTGCACTTGTGCACTCTGTACTCACTTACGCGATTATAATCTGGGGACATTCCCCCCACGCCAGTAGCGTCTTTGCACTTCAAAGAAGGACAGTAAGGATATTGGCAGGACTGAGCTATCAGGCAGATTGTAAGCATGAATTTAAAAAATTAAAGATCTTAACTTTACCATCAGTCTTTATACTGGAGACTCTTCTTTATATGAAAAACAATGAAAAAAACTATCCTACAATATCGGACACCCATAGCTATCAAACAAGACACAGAAATAATTTAACACTGCCATATTACAGATTAAAAAAATGTCAAACAGGGACACATTTTTTGGGAATCAAGTTTTTTAACAATCTTCCGATAAGTTTAAGAAGTCTTCCGACCAGAGATTTTAAAAATAAAATAAAATTCAAAATTCGTTTTATTCAATGGATGAATTTCTAAATTTTAATTTTAATTAGTTTTTATTAGCAAAAATTGAATTTATACCGATACTTTGTTTTTACCCACATGTATTGTAATTTCTACTTTAATTTTGTATTCTCTTATTTTGACTTGTGTAAGTACTTGTTTGTATGTAACATAAATAAACATTATTATTATTATTATTATTATAAAAAATCGCCAACAATATGTTGAAACCTCAGCAGGCAAATCAAGCTGTGAGGGTATAACTTGCGGAGTGCCCCAGGGCTCCATACTTGGGCCACTTTTGTTTTGCATTTATACGAATAACATATGCTCCTCATTAAAACACTGCACACCTCATCTTTACGCTGACGATACGCAAATATATTACTCTTTTGACCCATCTGAAAGACAACTTGCAGAAACAATTATAAACAACGACCTCAAAAATTTATTGATTCAATCAAAAAAACATAACCTAATTATTAATCACACCAAATCATCTATGCTTGTCTTCGGTAAACTTAAATCTGTCATATCATCTGAAATTAGTATAGTTCTGGATGACAAACAGTTATTACCTTGTAACGAAGCTAAAAATCTGGGAGTTGTATTGGATGTTGATCTACGTTTTAAAAAACATAATAATAAATGCATTCAAAAATCATATCTAAATTTAAAATTGCTTTATCCTCACAGACACATATTATCTCAAAATAATAAAATTGAACTTTCTGACTCGCTGATTCTATCCCATTTTAACTTTTGCGACACTGTCTATGGATCTTGTTTAGATAGGTTGTACATTAATAAGGTGGAAAGGGTACAAAAATCTTGCCTTCGATTTATATATGGCATCAGGCGCAGTTTTCCAGTGTCTCATAAGTTAAAGGACGCAAATTGGCTTAACATGTCAAAACGAAGGCTTCTTCATAGTCTCTGTCTTTTTCACAACATAGTAAAAAACAAAACACCACAATATTTAAGTAACAAAATTAGATTTAGACATGACGTACACAATTTAGGCCTTCGTTTTAAGGGACTTATATCTCCTCCTCCTCATAAAACAACTTTTTTTAAAAGATCATTTAGCTACAATATATACATTGAATATAATAAGTTACCCAAGGAATTAAAGCTTCTAAATGAAGTACAATTTAAAAGGAGGTGCAAATCAATGTTATTGCTTAGCCATCTGTAATTGATGCGTTTTGTTGTGTTTGTTATTTTATATTTTATTATTTTATTTTTATTTTTTTTTATTATAGTAGTGTATCTAGGAAATATAGGGTCATGTTAAATGGTGTAGGATAGGTTAGGTTAGTGGTCTAGGTTAAGTTAGGTTAGGTTAGGTTGGGTTAGGATGAATTAGGTTTAGTTTTAAATGGTTGAAGCTTTGATCAGCAATCCATAAAATGGGTATGTTGCTCTTCAATCATTATTTGCAAATGTTTGAATCTATCTCTTTGTTGTTAACTTTATTTTTAATATTTAATTTTTTTTTACTGTACTAGATATAAATGTAATTGTGGCATTTAATCTTTGCTGTAAACAGTTGCAAATAAAATTATTATTATTATTATTATAAAAATGCCATATTAACTATTTGCATTGTTGATTTTGTAATTTTTGTAATTAAGCTAAATTTAAACAAAATCTGGAAACTTTTTTTAACATAATCTGGAAACGCTGAAACCATAACATAAAAAATTAAATTATGCAACCAGATTAGCCTAAAGTTCCTAGTCGATCAGTGGCATACTTTTTGGTAGAATAATGGTTATTATAAATTATTTTTACTTTAGAATTTAGAAAAAAAAAGTTAAGTGCTTATTTATGGACCCTAAGGAACTACCTATTTTAATATATTAAATTAATTACATAACACCCTGTATAAACACCAGATATGTTTAATTATAGCAGACAAATCTGAAACATAAATAGTGATAAAATTAAGGACAAAAATGTATTATAAATTTAATTTTTTATATTTTATTAAAATAACTATCTAGTAAAATGAGAAGCTTGAGAAGGAAAATACACGTTTAACAAATTTAAATCGAAGTAGATTTCACAAGCTGTCATCCGTTTTTCTTCTGTATAGCCTCAAGGGCGAACTTTGCGCGTTCACCGTGTTTCTCATAATTGAAAACCTGACTCGGGAATTAACACTTAAATCTATTGCAGAATTTTAATGGACAATATTTTAAAGGATTACTTAGTATTCATCCAGGGAAAAGTCTTAATTAATTC